CAGGAGGAGGTGTGGTCCAGTTGCTACGTTACCAGAGAGAAACGGCACTACATCAGCTTGAACTGCAGACTGAGCTGTAGGCGATGGACACAGAGCCCTCTTAAATTTTTTGTTCTTGTATCTAACGCAACACCGTCCTCCTTCCTACAGCTTCTTATAGCTTCTGGTTACTCAAAGTGCAGGACAAAGTTTCCCATTATATTATATTAACTTCTACTGGGCTGAAAGCTTATTGCAGTTGTTTGCTTGATTTTCATGCTGGGAGGTAACAAGTGTATGCACAACATTAGCAAAATGTTAAATAGTTAATTTGTTGTAGCAGCTCGAAATACGGTGTGATGCTTCGACTTTGTACACAATCCTATTTCAATCCCCAGTCTCCATGTCTCTGCAAACAATGTCACAACAGAAAAGTGTTCATGCTGTGCAAGTGGAGAAATATTTATCATAGAATGATATTTGGTCAGTACCTCTCACCTACCTCTCCCCCTGTATTTTTCCATTTAAAATTTAACCTGGTTTTAGTTAAATCACAGACTGTACAAACAGAAGCCTGTAAGGCTCCCTGCACATGCCTGAGATGCACCAGGATATTTTGAGAAGCAGAAGAATCTCTCCCTATTTCTCCCTGTAAAACTCAGTTCCTCCGGTCAGCCCCAGAATTCAGTCAGCCTGCACAGTGCAAAAGACCAGTGGAAAACCAGTCATCCATCTAGAGACTCAGCCTAGTGCTTTTCTTTTCGATGTCTAATTGAGCAATCCCAAGTAAAAGCAAACACATAAAGGCAGCTTTTTGGAATCATTTATTAAGCATCATTTATTACATGCCTGTGGCTGGACCTTCTTTCCCTGTGACCACAAGAATCAAATCTTCCTCAAAGCTGCCACCAGAAGACTAGTTACAGGCGTCAAACTCAGAAGCTCTCTTGGTTTGCTCTACTTGCTTGGTCTTTCGGTGTCAGTTTTTCATGAGTCTAAATGAAGTGCTTGACTTCACTTGAATGATCCGAGACAAAGTAACCTGCAAAACAGACAAGGCTGAAATGTGAATACTCCAAAGCCTAATAAAAATCAGAAAATAGCGTATGTAGCAAAACATGAGAACTTACTTGGCTGAAAAGGGAAAAATGTAAAGAAACATACATCAGTCTTATCCTGTGGGGAGCAATGACTGCAGCTGCTATACTGTCTCTTAAACTGACGTTTGAAATGAACCAGGTATGATGCAATGCACTACAGCTAAGATACGGGGTAACTAACTGCAGCATACTGGAAAGCATCAAAATTTGATGTACATAAACTAAAGAGCTGACAGAACTCTGAACAACATCCTCTTATGCTTAACTTTTATGGGAAAAATGAGCATTGTTGTAAAGAAAAATAGCTCAAAATTAAAACCTGTAAAGTATTCTGATCAATTAAATATTAAGAATGTAAAAGACTAGAGTCTGCCACACCTATTCCCTCCCCATTAACAAAGCCTGGCAATAACTGGAGTAGTTAAGCATTGCAATATGTGGGTCATAAATTAACAGAAAAATAATGTGCCAAAACCTCAAATGCAGCAGTCCACTTTGGCTAGCATCTAATTGCTAGTTGTCTCCACTAACATCTAATCAGTGGACCGTATCTGTACGGAGGAGTTGGCAATCCTTAGACAGCCCACAGGATCCAACCTCTAGTAATAAAGTTGTAGTACTTTGCAAACTTGTGCTGGGCTTCATGGTGTTATCTTTTTCTCTATTTCTTATGAACAGTTTCTGAAATGAGCAAGAGCAACCAGTGAGATACTTAATATATTCTATACATAGATGTGTGCTCTTGTGGCAAGTGTAGTTAGCAGAAAAGCATAGTTTTACTTGCTGATGTAAACGTAAATATTGGAATAAACTAATATTGCTGTCAAGACAAAACTGTCATATATATTATAATCATAAAAAAGAAAATACTCTTTAATCAACATTCATGGTGTACAACCACTACTCATTCTGTCACATGCTGGACAGGCAGGGCAGAAGCAAAGAAGCAAGAAATCTACTTCTGCAATGCCTTGAGCACAGGTAATCCCATCTAGGAAATTCTTTTTACATTTTGTCTGAAAACTAGGTTCTAAGCAGCTGGCTTACCTTGGTCAGCTTCAGTTGTTCAATCTTCTTCCAGTAACAGGTTTTGTTTTTTCAAATGTTCAAAGTAATAGATCTGCAGTACTGGGCAACAAGGGTTGTTGTGATGCAGGGAGATCTAGAACACTGGCTCTGCAAGTCCACCCACGCAGGCGAGATGAAAAAACCAAAGGAAGATAAGGAAATTCCACTTCTCTGTGAAATGCAACTGTACAGCTATTAAAGATGGGGAAGTGAGGAAATGAGAGCAACGCACATGAATGCAAGATACAGAAAGACCAACCAGGTGCCTAGCTTGGTCTCCTGGAAAAGGCTCTGTTTGCCTCTAAACCTGGGCTTTGTGCTGGGATAGCAAAGAGATCAGACAAACCAGTCTGAACAAATATTACTCCACAAACCTGTGATTTATTTGAATGAAAATTCTGGAAGCAAGACCACAGGTCACTCTATAATGCAACTTTGTGAGACAATTGGGAAATCATTCAGATGCACTAAAGCATAGCCAGCTTGAGATCCTCTTCACATTAAACAAAGGTTGACAAGACTACAGTGCAATTTTTTGTCCCCTACCTCCATCCCTCCTAGTGCCCCATCTGGTGCTGATATTTCCCTGAAGCTCCATGAGACAGTATCAGTAGTCAGTGCAAGCTGAGGAAGTGCTCACTGAAATATTTAAAGAGAGTTCAACGCAACCCTTGGAAACAAACAGTGTAGTACAGCAATATAGATTTCTAGAACAATTTGGGGTTTTCATCCTACGTTCATACAACAGGAACTGCAACATCATATAAAAGCATCTTTCTGAAAATGTGTTTCAAAGGAGAACTGCTCTACTTCTTAGCACCTAAAACTAAACCCAAGTCCTCTCTCAGCTCTGAAGGTGCAGATTCAGGTGCAGATCACACTACACATTAATAGAACGTAGAAACACTGACCCCAGCCAGGCCCATACACTACTGTTTCACGTGCAGCCAGAAGCAGGATAGTTTTGCTAATGGGATTAGTGACACTAATTATTCTCAAAAAATAATAACTTTTGAAATAATAATTTTAAAATACCCATTTCAGAAAGCAGCATATTTTAAAAATATCAATTTCAGTACACAGATGTGAATTACAAGTCTACACAGGAAAATGCATGACACTAACACCAGTGATCATGTGAGTTATTAAAAAAAATAACCACGCAGTTTTGGTGAGTTTATTCCACACCACTTCAGCTGAAACATCCTTTCTCAGTGGCTACATGAAACCCCCAGGTAACTGCAGAGGCAGGAATAGAGTCAAATGTATTAGAAGAGTTTTTTTCAGAGGTTTTTACAGAACATTTTTTACAAAAAAACCCTCCAAACGATGACACACTCATGTATTAAATTATTTTTTAAAGTTTAAGAAAAAGCTTCATAAACTTTTGCTGTAAACAAGTTAAATGAAAAAATTTCAATTATGTGATCTTAAAAACTAACTAAATTCAACGTCTCTACCTCCAGCAAACACACAGCGTGCTATCTAGTATAAAAGAAAAAATAATCGGGGAGTAGAAAACAAAAGAAAAGGTGTCTGAGCACAACCAGAGTTTCCAAAGAGGTATAAACTGTATTCTTTAAATGCAAACATTTTTAT